CAGTCCATGGTTCCACATTTTTCATTCCATTTGTTCCTCGTTTGTAAATGCATTGAGTTCAATATCTTTTCTGGTCTTTTTCTCCTGCAACTTTTTGGGGTCTCCAGGGGCATTCGCAATTATGTTCACAGTACAGTCAAGTTTCAATGAATCCGTACTGGGTGGTACATACAGCGATTCTCATTTGCAGCATTAAAAGTCTTGCGAATGTCAAAACGATATTAGAAAGGAAAGCACAAGAGGGAACCAGTCATTTGCCTGAGATCAGTTCTAATTATTATTATTATTATTTTTTTTTTTTTTTTTGGAATCTGAATGACAATGAACTTATACATTCACCACATAGAGTAAGCATGGCTTGGGGAGGGGTTTTTCCACATTTAACTAACATGACAAGAAAATTATCTACTCCATCCAACTAGTTCCGGGTTCAAATCTGATTCATTTTTGTACATGAGGAAACAAAGAGAATTGTGCAGGTCACAAGGATACTCCTTGTTGACCCCAAAAAGTGCGCCAACAGATGCCGGTCCCACCCGCGCTTGCGTGGGCGAATGTCCAACACGCTAAGACACGTGGACGGTCTAAAACGAGCAGTTCAAGGGGGCGTGGGAGTAACCCAACGACGCGGGACGGTGACGTTCGGAATTCGGCAAGTGGTTCGTAATTCGATTGTACAATAATTACCCACCGGTGCTCGTAAATGTATATGCAAAAGTGTATAAACTCGATTTGTATATCGCAAGTAACTGAGAGAGAGAGTTGAGTAAATTTAGTCTTTTGTATTGATTCTTTCATTCGCCTTTGACATTACACGATGGAAGTATTTATAGTGATACATATGAAATGGGAGCCCTTGGATGAAGTGGTACGTGGACTCATCTCTTTAGTTCAGACGTCTTTTCCTAGGTACGGGACTTGACTTGCTAGCTTACGGCGCATTTATTGCTTGCGCAGGTCCTCCATACTAGTGACAAGACTTGACATTTATGCTTGTGACAAACGTTCCATCAGTCATTCGAATAAGATCTCTGAGCAGGCGATCTCTTGGGAGAAGTGACTGTGGAGGAAGCTCCTTGTGGTTAAGAGGCTCGTGCATCAGCTTCGGGGCTTCGACCATTTGACAAATACTTCCACTTGAGGACCTCAGCTACATTCAAAAGGATCCATGCTTCGGGTCATGGGCCTCGGTAGTTGGACTTCGGCAGATATTGCTTGCGCGTACATCGGATCGGGGAGCTTCAGTGGATGGACCTCGGCTGAAGCACTTCAGATATAACCCACCTCGACAATGTGTGCCACCTCGGCAGGAATGCCACGTGGATTGCTTGCACGTACATCGGATCGGGGAGCTTCAGTGGATGGACCTCGGCTGAAGCACTTCGGATATAACCCACCTCGGCAATGTGTGTCACCTCGACAGGAATGCCACGTGGATCAGGATGAGTGGGCCATTGGCCCAGGTGGGTAGGACAGGTGTGACAACACGCAACAATAGTCCCCCAAGTCCAAGTATAATCATTTAATGCGTGGACTTTAATAAGTAAAAGTTGAAAGAATTTTTGAACCCCAAATAATAGTCCCCCAAGTCCAAGTATAGATATTTATATTATGGTTGGAGTTTGAGAAGTGTTGCTGTGGGTGAGCGATGAAGTAGGCGAGGTGTTTGAATTCTGAAGATGAGCCGAGGTGGTTGAGAGGCCGAACCTGCGAGGCTTTGATGCTGAATGGTGAAGAGGAAGCCGAGGTGGTTGAGGAACCGAACCTGCAAGGCTTGATTGCTGAGTGGTGAAGAGGAACCGAGGTAGTTGAGGAACCGAACCTGCGAGGCTTTGATGCTGAGTGGTGAAGAGGAAGCCAAGGTGGTTGAGGAACCGAACCTGCGAGGCTTGATTGCTGAATGGCGAAGAGAAGCCGAGGTAGTTGAGGAACTGAACCTGCGAGGCTTTGATGCTGAGTGGTGAAGAGGAAGCAGAGGTGGTTAAGGAACCGAACCTGCGAGGCTTGATTACTGAATGGCAAAGAGAAGCCGAGGTGGTTGAGGAACCGAACCTGCGAGGCTTTGATGCTGAGTGGTGAAGAGAAGCCGAGGTGGTTGAGGAACCGAACCTGCAAGGCTTGATTGCTGAGTGGTGAAGAGGAACCGAGGTGGTTGACTGTGATGCTGAGTGGTGAAGAGAAGCCGAGGTGGTTGAGGAACGGAACCAGCAAGGCTTGCCGATGTCCAATGGTAATGATTGTGCGTTGGCTACTGTGCCAATGATTTGATGTTTTGTGCTTGTTTTCGAGGAAAGGTGGCTGAACCGTTACGACTTCCAAGGCGCTACTGCCGTCGAATTAAAAATGCAATTATGAGGGCAGCTGGCGCTTCTAGAAGCAGACGCGTTGCAGAGGTGCGTGGGAGGCAGGCATAAATCTGAAGCGTAGGATTTGAAAACTGTTTGAATTCAATGCCTCGGATTGGATCTGAAATGGAGGGCTTGGATTGACTGAGATTTGATCTGACGGCTGGGGTTCGTCTTGAACCTTTATAAAAGGCGAGAAAATCCCAATTTTAAGGATTTTTGAACACTTTGCACTCTGAAACTCTCTCAAATCTCCAATTTTTCGGCTTCGAGATTGTCTGTGATATTAAATTCCAGCCAGTCTCCATTTGTGTCGAATTCCCTTAGGTATTGTTTGAACAAAAACCCTTGTTACTGTCTTTTTACTGAGAAAATGGAGTCCACTTCGGGTAGGGAGCTTGTTACAGTGGCGTCTTTAGACTATGGAGTCGGTCATGGGGGGATGTCCGAGGTGGATAGGTATGCCATGGACGAGGAGCCTGTAGATTATACCCAGGAGTGGGGGGGCTTCTAGAGTGCCCTCGAATATGACAGGAAAGAGGTTGGGGAAACTTAGGGAGAGGTACAGTGTACCCCATAACATAGAAATGTTAGTCCCCGAGCCGAACGAGCGGGCCTGTTATCCGAGGCCCGGCTGCGTGGCCGTGAGTGAATACCTGTTCAAGCAGGTATGCGTCTTCCTCTGCACCCCTTTTTTAGGGCGGTGCTTAGGAAATTCATGCTGTCGCCGACCCAGGTTCTGCCGAATGGGTGGAGCCAGCTGGTCGGCTCGTACTTCCTATGGAAGGAAGTGTCACTTGGGGAGGACATGCCTCTTCATGTGTTCATGACCCTGTTCCAACCCCGGGTAATTGGGAAGGAGTCAAGGGGGTGGTACTACCTCACGCCTTGGGGGACTCACGCACCCTTTGTGGTGGGACTTCCTTCCTTTATCAAGGGGTGGAAGGAGTCCTGGTTCTGGGCGCGAGGTGAATGGCAGGCAGTGGAGGGTGACAAAGCCCTGTCATGCACAGTGCCGACCCAGTACTACGAAGCTCGTGAGTCTCCCGACCTCTGCTTGTCTTTTTGAAGTCAGAATATGAATTCGTCTAACTGTTGGAGGTTCCTTTGCAGATAGTAGTACGAGGTTCGAGCTCAGCAGGGAGGAATTCGAGGTGATAGAGGACATTTACAAGAGGCCTCTAAAGCTTCGGCACTTCGATCACCTGATTGATAGGAGCAGATACTTTTTGGACTTTGAGCTGATGGCCTCCAGAGGTATGAGGCCCCAATACTTTATCCCTTGTTTTTATCCTTTTTGTTTTTTATACTGATACTGATCTGACCTATTGTACAGATAAATTCAAGAAGAGGGAGTACCCAGCTCCGGACATGGCCTCTATCTTGAAGGCCACATCTACTGCAAAGGCGAGGCCCTTGAAGCCTGGGTCCAGTGGGGCAAAGGAAGTCCGGGGCAGGGTTGAGCGCCTGTCCAAGGACTGTACTCCCAGGGCTTCGGAGGAGGCAACTACTTAGAGGCCGGAGAAGCCTAAGGAGCCTCGGGGAAAGGAGAAAGTCCCTAAGGAGACTAAGAAGAGGAAGCTGGTGCACATCTCCAGCTCAGCTGGCAAGTTTGGGACCTCAGTGTCCCTTAGGGCCGAACAGACCGAAGAGTCGAAGCTTCTTGCTGCAGCCTCCAAAGCCATCAAACTGGAGATGGTAAGAGAGGTAGAGGCCGAAGAGGCTAGAGAAGAGGCTGCAAGGCGAGCTGCAGAAGCCGCCGAAGAGGAGGCAGCGAAAGAGAAGCCGGTTCGGGAGAAGGGGAAGTCTCCAAACTTCCTAGCTGGGAGGGAGGAGGAGCTGGCCCCATCTTTGGTGAAGGCTCTCCCTGAGGAAATCAGAAGTGCCACTGAGAGCTTTTACAAGTTCTGGACAGAGAGGTGGCAGCTGCATGCCTCGTCTTGTGATGTCACCGACCTGACAAGGGCACTGGTGAGCCAAAGCGCCCAGACCTTTGGCCTCGCGCTCGAATGCAGGGAGGCCTTGAGCGAATTCCAGACAAGGACCCACGCCTCGGAGGGGAAAGCTGCCTCCCTTGCAGAGGAAGTTAAAGCTGCTAAGGCCGAGGCCGAAGAAGCCAAATCCCAAAAAGTTGAAGAGGCGGCGAAGCTGGAGTCTGCTTTGGCCCAAATTGAGGCCCTGAAGAAGGAAGTGTATGAGTCACAGTGCGAGGTGGCCTCCTTGACAAAGAAGGTGGAGGTCTCCAATGAGCACCAAAAGGTGACTGCTGAGGCTCTTGAGAAGGCGAATCTCTCCTTGGCCGGTGCTCGAGATGCTTATCAGTTTCTTGAAGGCCAGGCGAAGTGGTACATGAACGATTCCTCTGTTGCCAGAGAAGAGGCCCGAACTGCAAGGGAAGAGGCGGTGAAGGAATACATCGCCAATTTCCACACTACAGAGGAGTATAAGAGCTTCAGCTCCTACTGGAGGAACTTCGCCTATGCCGAAGTGCTGGAGAGGGCAGAGGAGCTATATCCCAATTTGGACCTGGCTCAACTTAGGTCCGAATTTGTGGATGAGGTACCTCAGACCCCAGCTGAGGAGGTCCAGGGTGATGAAGAAGTTGATGCCGAAGCCCCTAGGGCTGAGGCAGAGAAAACAACTACTGATGCCCAGGTTGCCGAAGCCCCCAGTACCGAGGCGCCTCCGTCATCTAGCCAGGCATAGACTAGGTTTTATTTTTCAGTAATTTGGATGTAATGGCCAGAGGCCCTCCTTTGTAACCTTCTTTGAAATATCAATGTACTGTCTTTCTTCTTTCATTATTGCTTTTGTCCAAGTTTTTATACCTCGTTAAACAAATTTATTGGAACTTGATAGAAGCATGAACTAAATAAATGAACATAACTTGAGTGACTGAACTGTACGACCCTCGGACTTAAGCAAATTAACATGACTTAAGGAGATGAACAGTGTGAACCTCGGACTTAAGCACATAAACATGACTTAAGGAGATGAGCTGTACGAACCTCGGACCTTAGCAAATTAACATGACTTAAGGAGATGAACGGTGTGAACCTCGGACTTAAGCACATAAACATGACTTGAGGAGATGAACAGTACGAACCTCGGACTTAAGCATATTAACATGACGTAAGGAGATCGGACTGTAGGGTTGTGGCTTCTCCCTTTGACGTTCAGCAAGGTCAAAGGGAGGCATGTGCTAGCGCCTTGGAGTTCAAGCGAGGTAGCCCAGAGGTGGGTCCCGAGCCCTTCCTCCGAGGTGACGACGCATCCCAGACATGGTGGATGGTGCAGCCATGTTGAGGCTTCTCCCCTTGGCATTCAACAAGGCCGAAGGAAGGCATGTGCTATCGCCTCAGAGTTCAAGCGAGGTAGCCCAGAGGTGGGTCCCGAGCCTCTCCTCCGAGGTGACGACGCATCCCAGACATGGTGGATGGTGCAGCCATGTCGAGGCTTCTCCCCTTGGTGTTCAGCAAGGCCGAAGGGAGGCATGTGCTATTGCCTCGGAGTTCAAGCGAGGTGGCGCAAAGGTGGGTAACGAGCCTCTCCTCCAAGGTGACGACGCATCCTAGATATGGTGGATGGTGCAGCCATGTCGAGGCTTCTCCCCTTGGCGTTCAGCAAGGCTGAAGGGAGGCATGTGCTAGCGCCTCGGAGTTCAAGCGAGGTGGCCCAGAGGTGGGTCCCGAGCCTCTCCTCCGAGGTGACGACACAGTATGACGATTTAATCAATGCATTTTATTGGGCCATAGAAATATTACAAAGGCTGGGAAAGTCATCCAGCATGATACAATTCATTGATAAAAGATTCTGAGGTGTTCAATGTTCCATGGACGGGGTTGTGCCTTGCCGTCCATGTCTTCAATCCAGTAGGTCCCAGGTCGGATTTCTTCTCTGATCTTGTATGGACCTTCCCAGTTCGGCCCCAGGGAACCGGAACCAGGTTCTTTTGAAGATGGGAAGACCCTCCTGAGCACAAGATCGTTGATTCGGAACGACTTCTTCTTGACTTTGGAGCTGAAGTACCTTGTTATCTTTCTTTGATAGGTGCCCAGCCTTAGCTGGGAGTCATCCCTTCTCTCCTCAATGAAATCGAGGTCGAGCCTCCGAAGCTCGTCGTTGGTCACTTCGCTGAAGTGCAGACGACGTGGAGATGGGAGTCCGACCTCCACGGGGCTCATTGCCTCAGTCCCAAAAGCCATGAGAAAAGGGGTCTCCCCAGTTGGGGTCCTGGTGGTGGTTCGGATTGCCCAAAGTACTTGGGGCAGCTCATCAACCCAAGCTCCCTTGGATACATCAAGCTTCCTTTTCAGAACGTGCTTGATTGTCTTGTTTATGGCCTCAACTTGGCCATTAGCTTGTGGGTGGTGAGGTGTAGAGAAGTGCTTCTTTATGCCAAGGTCTTCACACAGTTCTCTAACCTTCTTGTTATCGAATTGCCTGCCATTGTCTGAGACGATCGAGTGGGGAATTCCGAACCGGCAAATAATATTCTTCCATAAGAACTTGGAGGTGTTTGCTTCTGTGATTTTTGCCAGTGGTTCAGCTTCAACCCACTTTGTGAAGTAATCAATGGCCACTATTGCAAAACTTGCACCTCCTCTACCCTTAGGAAGGGGGCCTATGAGGTCCACACCCCATTTCGAGAAGGGCCAGGGGCTGGAGACTGCAGTCAAATCCTGTGATGGTCGTCTTTGTACGGGAGAGAATCGTTGGCATTTATCATATGTTCGCACGAATTCGAGGGCATCCTGTTTTAGGGTAGGCCAGTAGTACCCTTGCCTCAGTATTTTTTGTGCCAGAGATAGGCCTCCAGAGTGGTTGCCGCACACTCCCTCGTGGACTTCTCTTAGTATGTAGGTAGCCTCTTCTCCCCCGACGCATCGTAAGAGTGGAGAGGAGAAGCTTCTCTTGTAGAGAATGTCGTCAATGAAAAGGAAGTGGGCTGACCTCCTTCTCAGCTTATAAGCGTCATTCTTGTTGGTGGGCAGCGCCTGGTCTTTCAGATATGCTATGATTGGTTGCATCCAGGTGGGAGTTCCACCGACCCACATGACATTAGGGGCCTCGGTAGAAGGCAGGAGGAGGTGCTCGATAGGCACTACAGTGAGTAGCTCCGAGTCTTTACTACTAGCTAGCTTCGAGAGTGCATCCGCATAAGCATTTTCGATGCGGGGAATCTGGGTTAACTCGAACTTCTCAAAGGATGGGATGAGGTTCATCACCATTTTCAGATAGGAGGCCATCGTTTTGTCTTTGGCTGAGAAGTTACCATTGACTTGGCTAACAACCAGCTGGGAGTCACTACTGACGTGTAGCTTCTTTACTTGCATTTCCTTGGCCAGTCTGAGGCCTGCAAGGAGTGTTTCATACTCTGCAACATTGTTGGTGGCTTTGAATCCGAACCTCACGGTCGAGGTGAGTTTGTGACCCTCAGGGCTGATGAGGACAACCCCGGCGCCTGAGCCGACATCCCCAGCTGAGCCATCGACGAAGAGGCTCCACATGGGTGGTTCGACGGATTCCATGATTTCATCCACCTCGAGTAGGTTGGCGAATTCAGCAACAAAGTCAGCTAAAGCTTGCCCTTTGATGGCTGCCCTAGCTTTGAACATAAGGTCAAATTCACTTAGTTCCACTGCCCATTTCAATAATCTTCCCGAGGCATCGGGCTTTTGGAGTACTTGCCTCAGGGGAAAATTTGTAAGTACATGGATGGTGTGAGCTTGGAAGTAGGGTCTCAACTTCCTAGAGGCCGTGATTAAGGCCAAAGCAAGCTTCTCCATAGCGGGGTATCGGGTCTCCGGCGATAGGAGCGCTTTACTTGTATAGTAGACGGGAAGTTGGGTGGACCCTTCTTCTCGAATCAGCACCGAACTGATGGCGTCATTGGAGACGGCAAGATATAGTTGTAAGATGTCACCGGGCTTCAGCTTGGAGAGGAGGGGGGCCTACCCCAAATGCCTTTTCAGTCCTTGGAAGGCCTCTTCACATTCCTCAGTCCATTGGAATTTCTTCCCAGCCTTGAGCACTTTGAAAAATGGGAGGCACTTGTCA